TATATATATATATATATATATATATATATATTTTAAAAGTCCATTGTTACAGTGATTTATCAATGGCTTAATTATTTTCCCTTTTCCTGTGGAATTCTTCTCCATCCCCACCTGCTCTGGTTGGGCTATTTTGAAGGCCAGTATAAAATAGCACACATTCATTAAAGGTTCTTTGTACTTTTTCATTTTTTCTAGTTAGCACAAAAACAAACAGGACCACATTCTTCCCCCACTGAAATTTAATGGTCCTATTTGACATATTTACATGGGCCTCATTTCTATATGTTTACGTATATATTAGCATGGACAGGTGCTACAAGAGCCCCACTGCCACCACGTGGCTTAAAACTCAAGAGAGCTGGGTTCTAACCTCCAGAAGCACAGTGGAGAATAGACCCTCACTGTACTTCTGTTATAGAAATAGATTTGTGTGTGTATTAGAGTCAGGAATATAAGTTTGATGTGTGTATCAGATTTGAAATAAGTAACTTCATTTTGTGTGACTGAGTGTAACTGTGAGGCCTGCGTGCCACGATAAGATTAACACTTTGTAGCCCTGGCTTCCAAGCAGGCCCGCGCTCTGTGGGACCCTGATAAGACACACTGAAGACGCACCACACCTTCAACTGAACTGTTAAAAGCAGGGGCTTTTCGGCCACATCTTTGGATGCTTGTCTGCCCTCCACAGACTTCGTCCCCAGCTCCGGGAAAGCTGCCCCTGCCTTGCTCTGCCCTGCACCTCTCTGCGGGAGCTTCCAGAGGGCTGCAGTGACCGATGCCGTTGCGGCTGCACCCCCAGACCTCGTGTGTCTTTCAGCGGATCCTCTGGGTGGCCTGCTGGTGCCAAGAACCATCGGGAACTGGTAAATAAACCCTGTGTGATTTGCTTCATGTTTGTCTCTGTCTCCCTTCTTGAAACTTGAATTATTGGCTCGGTCTTATTGAATTAAAGTGTCTCTCGACCCTCACAGTGGTATAGCCACGTATTGGGAGTTAGACCACCTGTGTTTACATCTCCAGAGAAACTGGGACAGTTGGCGTAGTCGGCAGGATTGTGCCAAAGAATTGGCAGTACACGCAGGCATCACAGTTACACTCACACAAAATGAAGTTACTTATTTCAAATCTAATACACACATCAAACTTATATTCCTGACTCTAATACACACACAAATCTGTTTCTATAACAACTTCCCATTCCTCAACACCAAACTGCCCCTGTCCTCCTCGATTTGCTGGTGAAATTCCTCAGGGGTCCAGGAGGAAAGGGAGAAAGCCACACGAAGATCTCACAACTCTAGAGCACAACAAATGTGGTGGGGTATCCATGTATTTAGAAAACCACAGTGCAAGCCGCAGGAAAAAACGTAATCAAAAGGCCACTGGGAAAGCTTGGGTGATCAAGAGAGCTCCCTGCCAAAAGACCTTCTGAAAAAATGAAGGAACTCTTATTTTTGTGACAGCATGGATGGACCTGGGGATTATTATGCTAAGCGAAATAAGCGACAGAGAAGGAAAAATACCGTGTGGTATCGCTAATATATGGAATCTAATGAACAAAACAGACTTACAACAAAATAGAACAAGAGGCATGGATACACGGAACAGACAACTGCCAGAGGGGAGGGGGGAGGGGGGACTGGATGAAAGAAGAGATTAGCCAAAGAATATATACGCATAGCCCATGGGCACAGAAAACAATGTAGTGAGATGGCCAGAGGGCGGGGGGTGGGTAGAGGTGGGTAAAGGGAAGACTATGCAAGGGGACATCTGCAATAGTGTCAACAATTTAAAAAAGAAAAAGAAAAAAAAGACCTTCAGATTCCAAAGGAAGGTGTAACTTCTGCCCCTTGAAACTCGGTTCAAACCACTGTCCATCACGCGCGTTGGCGAACTGGATGCAAGTTACGGCTTCGGAGTCCGGGAAGAGGGGGTCGCCAGGCTGCTCCCGCGTCCCCATTAGCTGCCAGAAGGGCACTCGTGTGAGGGAGGAGGGCACGTCCAGGATGCGGGCCCCAGTTTTCGCTTTGGGAGGGAAGGCGAGGTGGGGGCGAGCCTGCGGTGAAAACAGACTGGAGGGGTGAGGGCAAAGGGAGGCGACCGAAAACGGGACGGCCTCCCTGAATTTTCTTCTCCCCTCCTCGCGTGAACTTGAAATAACAACGTGGGAAAGCACGCTCACAACCACGAGGTTATCTCTGTACTTGCGCCACTCCGCAGGAAAGGTTCGGCCGCTGTGAGCGCGCGCACGGGTGACCCCACTTTCAGGGAGGCCGGCTCCCCGCTCTTCCACGCCACAGCCCGGGCTGACCCCCGCCCCCTCTTT